GTCTGTCTGTCTGTGTGTCTGTGTGTCTGTGTGTGTGTGTGTGTGTGTGTGTGTGTGTGTGTGTGTGTGTGTGTGTGTGTGTGTGTGTGTGTGTGTGTAAAAATGCCATTTTCCTGTCACTTCCAACCATTAGCCGATGCATGCCCCGGTGGTATCTGTCACTAGATAAATCTAGGGCAGCATTAAAACGCACCAGAACTATTGTTGAAAAGCTAGGGGGAGAAGAATTAATTATAAGCCATACATAGGTAGGGACGGTGGCTACGATAGGGAAGACATTGGGTAAGTGACACATTGATAAACTGGTGTACAGAAAAAATGTATAAAGAAGTAAGCAATTTATTGCAAATAATTTTTTTTAATTACAAAAATGGGGGTATATGCACAGTGGCCATGCGGTGGTCACGGCAGCCAAAGGGCATATACCGAAATGATAAGGATTTGAAGCGATACAGAGACAATTTTTAAAAAGGTCATGCCTGCAAAATTGGGGACATAAACTGATCGGCTGGCCCAATGAACTGATGAACGGGCGTTTATAAAAGGATTTAAATAATGGCAGAGCTGATATAACGGGGGTACGTGACTGCACCCATAAATTGTCATCGAAAACAATCATCCAATATCTACTAGCCAAAGTTCCCCCTACCCCTTTTAAGGAAGGCTCAAAATGTATTCTCGAAGGCTTTCTTTTTTTAAAAAATTTTTTGAATGCTCAAAAATTTCCCAGGAAGACGGCGGAATAAATCGTTTTGAAGTCTGGAAAACGGGAGGCTGCTAGTGAGATAGGAAGCTTCTGCACACTACAAAAAACATTAAACATAATTTACTCAACAGCTTGGAGTGTATTTCTCCAATCTACATCTCACTGTTTTTGAATATTTACGGAAAGATCCCTATCTTTGATCTTTGAAGGAGTTAATTAACAATGAAATCCTGAACAGGTTTGCCCAGGTCCCATTGAGCACAATGGGCTTAATCCTAGTTTTGTAATCTTGGTCACAAAATCACAGAATAAGAAGGGATGTATAAGGCCATCAAGTTCAACCCTCTGCTTTGTTCAAGCGTCTTTACGTCTGTCCTGTCATTTTATGCCCCACAGGGTTTGTTTTTTTACCATTATTTTGTGAGTTTTATGGTGAAATGACCTATTTCCTAAGAAGTGGTCATATGAAGAGTGTCAACACTGTGGCCCAACAGCCCTGAATTTTTTTTTAAAAAAAGCCCAAATCTGTGTGCCATTATTTTCTACGCATTTTTGATCATGCGCCCACCGTCATCGATTCACCTCCAAACTAGAAACCCAGATGGGGAGGAACCCTTCCCCTACGAGAAAAACAGAAGAAGGAAAAGGCAGGCCACAAGGAGAACATTGGAAAACACGTAAAGAAATCCCAACAAGCCAGAAAAAAACAGCAACACAAATCTAAAGCCAATTTACGGTCACGAACAGGAAGAAAGGTACAAGGAAGTGGTGCCAAAATCTTACTTTGAGTGTCGGAAACATGGATCTGGCAGTGTCTTGTCACTTATCGCTATCGGCTTCACTCAGTCGTTCTTTCCAACATCCCATTTCACACTCAGCGTTCACCCGGGGAGGAAAAAACAAAATTGAATTTGCTCGGATAATCTGGATGGGGATCTCGGACGGCTGTTCCTGGTAGAACAAGGTTTTAAAACAAAAATCGATGGTGCCTACTCCTGCTTTCGGACTTACCTGTAGACTTTCAAACCTGTTCGGCAAGCCCAGGTGAGTTAGGAAATAACCAGCCAGAGGGGTTGGCTTGCCGGAGCCCCACCTTCCAGGTGTCCGCATGAGAGAGAGAAAAAGCCAGACACACATACATGGTTCCCATGGAAAACTTGGATAAAAATTATCAAGATAGAGTGGATAACTTTTTTTTTGAAATTGACAATTTGGGGTACAGAAGGTAAAGGGGGATATGGGGGAAAAAAGGAGGGGTAGAACACAAAATGTACAGTTGTCCACTCTATTCATGTTGCAATATCAAATCAGCTTTCCGATTTTCTACAGTTTGATTGCCCTCCAAGTTTTAAGTCATATCTTTAAATCAATGTTATTCAAGCACTATCTGGTGACACTCAAGCCATTTATATAATAAATCCCACTGTTCAGTTGCCTTTGGTATTGGACAGTCTTTCAGCACTTCTGATAAAATATCAGTTTCTGTCCCTTCCCGTATCTTCTCAGTGAGTTCTTCTTGTTTCGGTATCTCCGATTCCTTCCATTTCGTAGCATAAAGAATTCTGGCTGCAGTGACTATACAGTGGTGCCTTGCTAAATGATGATAATCTGTTCCACTAAAATCGCTGTTTAGCGAAATCATCGTCTAGCGAAAAGCATTTCCCCATTGGAATGCATTGAAACCTGTTTAATGTGTTCCAATGGGGAAGAATCGTTGTTGTCTAGCGAAGATCGGCCGTAGGAAAGCCGCTGATCAGCTGTTTAAATCGCTGTCTTGTGAAGCTTACGTCCCGAAAACACCTGTTTTGCAAGCGCGGAGGGAGCTGTCAAAATCCTTGTCTAGCAAAAATCGCTTTGCGAAGCAGGGACCAAACATTGTCCAGCGAAATTCCCCCATAGGAATCACTGTTTTGCGAATCGCTATAGCGATCACAAAAAGTCAATGTCTAGCGAAAAAACTGTCATGCGGGATAACTGTCTAGTGAGGCACTATATATAAAACTAGGTACTGTAGTTCTTTGTCTTATCTATATTAGAGTGGTTAACACTTTTCAAACATCTGCTCCAACTTCTCCTATTGATCAGAATAATTTCCCCCCTCTCTTTTCCTGATTCCACCCCATGGTAAACAAACTACTGTCTCCACTCCCCCCCCTAAAATGCCCAAATCCTGTGTAAAAAATGCATATATTTTTAGGCCGACTGGTTGAGTGGACTGGTATTTCTTCAGAGATCAATTCTTCCGTCCCCCAGAAGTTACATCGGCTTCTTCCAACTGGAGATCCTGGACTCCAACTCCCACAATCCCTGACGTGTCTGAAATATTAGGGTGAGTGGCACTTCTGTGAGCGGCTTTCCTTTGCCTCTAGCGCCAGAATCCAGATGTGCCAACGTTAAAAGCATCACACACGGCGAGGGGTTTCATTCTGAACGATGGTTTCAGGACACGGTTATTATCACTCCCTGGGACGTGGATGGTATTAAAAGGAGGCTGGTGACTTTTTAAAAATGCTAATGCATATTAAAATAGTTCCTTCCATCAAACCAGAGGCTGGGGGGAAAATATATATATTTAGGGACCCTAACGTCCAGAAACCCGGGAGAGGAAGGGGAAGACTTTGCACGTTGGAATCCAAAGAAGCAACTTTTCTAAATTCTGGCTTCAAATTCTCCTAAATTCTGCACCCAAACCAATCCTATCCTAATTTTGATTTCTTATTATGCTGTATTATTTAAAGAGTGCAGATGTTGGATCTTTGTCCTGCCAAGATGGGACACTCCCCCCCTTACTAAATCCAGTGGAGACAGTGTGGTGTATTGCAGGGGGTCCCCCCCCAAAAATCCAGATGTTCTTGGGACTACAACTCCCAGAAATCCTGGCCAGCAGAGGTGAAGGCTTCTGGGAGTTGTAGTCCCGAGAACATCTGGAGCCCTCCCCCCCCAAGGTTTGGGGAACCACTGATAGAATATTGGACTATGAGACTCGTGTTCAAATCCCACAATGTGGCACGACACTGGTTGTGTGATTTCGGGCTGGAAACCTATTCGGAGCCTACTCTGCAGGGCTGTTGTGAGGATTTGGCGGGAAAGGGGAAGCCAAGGAAGGCTTAGTGGCAAAAAAAAACCCTTATTGCTGGCACGACAGGCAAAATCCTTGATTTTTGCGTGCGCTTGGCCATCAGAATAATGTGTGGGAAATAAAA